AGGGAGGAGGTGACGGAGATAGGGAGGGGGTGACGGTGAAAGGGAGGGTGTGACGGAGATAGAGAGCGGGTGTAGGGGCAGCAGGATGAGGCTCCCAGCCTCGGAGGGTGACGGTGTTTCCCTGCCTCCCAGGTGAACCTGGAGAAGACATTGCGAACCGTGGAAGACCAGATGAATGAATACCGCAGCAAGTCTGAGGAAGGACAGAGGGCCCTCAATGACTTTGCCACCAGCAAGGCCAAACTGCAGGCTGAGAACGGTAAGGATAGGACTGCCCCGTACCCGTCTGCATTCATATAGCCACCTCTGCATCCACAGGCAAGCACCTGTCGCAGTCTCCCAGTCAGGAAATGACAGAGAGAGAAGGCAACATCAGGGACTGGGTCAGAGCAGGGTTGCTCGCGTGTGTGTGTGTGTGTGAGAGTGTGTGTGTGAGATTGTGTTTGTCTGTTTGTGTGTGTGAGAGTGTGTTTGTCTGTGTGTGTGAGAGAGAGTGTGTGACTGTGTGTGTGCGAGGGAGTGTGTGTGTGTGTGTGTGTAAGAGTATGTGTGTGTGGGTGTGGGTGTGGGTGTGGGTGTGGATATCTATTACCCCCCAGGCTGTGCTGTCTCCACCCGCCCCAGCCCCCGGCAGTTACAGCGTTGCCCCCTCCATCTCTATTTGCCCCTTTTACCCCCAGTCTATCCCCGATCAGGACGGTAGGGGGTCAGGGTTTGTAGAGAAAACCCCATCCTCATGGCGTCTGGAGTCACGTGGAGATCTGTCCGGGGGGAGGCGTGAGAGGGTGTAGAGAGGAAGGGGTGATGGGGGAGGGGGGGGGGGGAGGGGTGAGGTGAGGTGTGAGAAGGTGGAGGGGTAATCGGGGTGAGGGGTGAGGTGTGAGAGGGTGGAGGGGTGATGGGGTGTGATGGGGGAGGGGTGACGGAGGGCTGTTCTCCTTCCCCCCCGCCGATGTCCTATTTACACCAAGTGCCGGGAGTTACAGGTTGTCAGTGTTACTGGGAGGCACTGTCCTGTCTTCATGGCCTCACTCCCTACCCCCCTCATTCTGTCCCTCACTCCCTCCCTCACTCTGTCCCTCATTCCCTCCCTCATTCCCTCCCTCACTGTCTCCCTCCCTCTGTTCCTCTCTCCCTCAATCCCTCCCCCACTCAATCCCTCCCCCACTCAATCCCTCCCTCACTCCATCCCTCTCTCACTCCCTCCCTCCCTCCCTCCCTCCCTCCCTCACTCCCTCCCTCACTGTCTTTCTCCCTCACTACCTCTCTCCTCACTCACTCTCTCCCCCTCTCTATCCCTCCTCCCTCCCTCCACCCCCCCCAGGTGAGTTGCAGAGGCAGCTGGAGGAGAAGGAGGCACTAGTATCACAGCTGACGCGAGGAAAGGCCTCCTACACACAACAGATCGAGGACCTGAAGAGGCAACTCGAGGAGGAGCTGAAGGTGAGGCAAATTCCAGGAGCTGATAATCTCCGGTGCGGGGAGTCGGGGGGGATGGGGGTGGGGGCGGGG